AGTCAAAACAACTGCTCTTTGAGTAGCGCGTTCTCATTATCACTTCTTAAAAGTGTAGCTCGAAGCCTTCTCCGCTCCAAGGAATCCCCCTGAAGCGCCTTTCTGTGGAATTGAGAGCGCAGGATCGCTCAGGCCGGTGCTGCGGACCTGGAGTGCCTGGCTTTGATGTGGGGGAACAACTAACATTGTCTAATGGAAAAGCAGAAATTAAGGGTTTTCCGGCATATATACACACACGTATATAGATAGTTTTATTTTACTTCGCTGGCAGATATCGAAATATGCGAAAGTGTATTTGGTTTCTTTTGGAGCTAGGTGATGAAAGCAACTATTGAGACTGGTTTTACCTGATTTCTCTGTTAAAGAATATAACAGATGTGTTAAATGTCCTATGTTTTAAAAGCACCCTATTCAGCCCTTTGGTGTGGCTGAACCTTTGCAAGCAGAAGTGTGCAGCTCAACCATGCAGGCTTTATCCTATTAACCATGAACTAACTGTCACCTTCAGCTGTTTTCCCCTTTTTGCTTTTTAACACAAAGCTTTCTCAAAAATCTTATTAACCAGCTTTATTTCTCTCGATGGTTTTTGTCCGGACGTTTTGTGTCGATTATCTCCATGTCGATGCTTTAACCATTCAATAAAAGTGCATCTGCGATTTATATCACATTAGAGAAGAAAGAAAGTCTGTTTAAACCTCTCCCTTGGTTCAAATCAAAAAGTTATTTATTAGAGAGGACTGAATCCGCCCTCCAAATGATACGAGACTGACAACTTTGCCTGGCTGGGCTAGTCCCCAGCAGCAGCGTCTGAGGACGGCCCCCTTGGAGGAGCTGCTCTGCGGAAGCAGCTCTTAAAAAAAAAAAAAAAAAAAAAAAAAAAAAGGAGAAAAGGAAGAAAAAAAAGAGAGAGAGAGAGAAGAAAGAAATACGACAGGGCTTCCTAATGAAAATAACGGTCTGACAGCCCCCTACACGCACACACCCCGTCTCTCCTCCCACATCCCCGGCTCCTTCTCTCACACACATATATGCACACACACACACATATATATATATACACACATATATATATATGTATGCACACACATACGGTCCCGCTCCTGTGCTTCCCCTGGTTCTGAGATAATACGACAGGGCTTCCTAATGAAAATAACGGTCTGACAGCCCCCTACACGCACACACCCCGTCTCTCCTCCCACATCCCCGGCTCCTTCTCTCACACACATATATGCACACACACACACATATATATATATACACACATATATATATATGTATGCACACACATACGGTCCCGCTCCTGTGCTTCCCCTGGTTCTGAGATTCCTAATGCAGTGCCCAGGTGGGTCCGAGAACCCAAGAACACTTTATTTTATATATATTTTTATTTTTTTTTACTGTCCTTATACAGCCCTTTGAGATGATTTACTCCTTTCTTCACATATGTTTTGGGGGTGTTTTGCCTCTCTATAGACAAACTGCCGCTAATTTCTCTCTCTCTCTTTTTTTTTTTTTTTTTTTAATAAGGGCCTGACACTTTGTGGAAGGATGGGTCAAGCGCATGCTGGGGCACACGTGGACCCAGTTCCTTGGGCCACATCTTAGCACACCCATAAAGAACACCTTAAGCACCACAGCAAAAGGGACTAGACATCTATTGAAGGGGAAGCTAGGCCATAAGAAACCAAGAAATTGGACGAAAGGATCTTATTTTAAGTGATCTCCTTTGGAAGTTTCTTTTCAAAGGCAGTGATCATTTAAGAGAAGGGAATTCTAATGTCTGGAGATAAAACCTGTGACTAATGCCGTTTGACCTATGCTCATGGGGTTTTGTGCCTCCTGCCATTCATTTTAATGTCGTTATCTTCAAATTTATTTCTTAAAAGTCACTCGCTTTCTTTGTCACCCCCACTCAGGCTTAAAAAAAAAAAAAACACACACAAGGCAAACGCTGGGAGGGGGAGCAGGGCCCGCAGGCTGCGTGTGTCCCGCTCCGCGGCTCTTAATAGGGAGCTAGAGCAGGTGGACTCTGAACTTAGGTGCCTTTAGCTGCATCCTCAAAGATGAATCTCTGCTTATACACTTATTCAAGAATGAAGCAAACATCACTGGAGGGTTTGGTTTCTGTAGATTTTGACAGGATTTGCTCTATCAGTTGAATTCTCTCAGATTTAAGAGTTTAAAAGACAGTTCCCACCCCCCCCCCTTTTTTTTTTCTTGAAAATCCTTCTATTGTGCCAATCAAGCAGATGGTTTGCAGGAAATATAGCTTGGCCCCAGTGACCGAAACTAATTTTAACTAGCTTTCCAAGCCTGGCACGTTTGTTTTGCTCTTACAAAATAGCTAAAAAAACAGCTGGCAAGGGTGAATTAAACCCATTAAAGACACATTTATAAGAAATTATATTCACATAGGTTGCTTGAACCCCCCCTAAGAGGGGAGAGATGAGCGTATTGAAATGAAAATGTCCCCGAACACACTACCCTCCTTAACATCGCCTGAGAGTCTCAAAACATTTTACTAAATAGATTAACTTGACTATTGTTTCGCATCACATTTATCAGCTTCATTAAGTGAATAGCTGAACAAATATATTACGCATGCATGAAAAGCTCTTTTGGGGGCTGCCTTATTGTGTCCTCAGCCCTGACAGGTGGTTAACTGTATTTCCCTCTTCTCTCCCCCTCTCTCTCTGTGCGCAAAGAAAGAGGGATCTCGGGCCGAGCGCGCGGCCCAGACTTGGCAGAGGGACCCAGAGGGGAGAGTCACTTTCTTTTCCCTTGCCATTCACGCTGGCCAGCCCAGGGTGCGGGCAGGCTGAGGCGAACCAGCTGATCTGATCATGTCAGAAGTAATTAGTTTAGTCTCTGTGTCTTGCTTGCACTTTACTAACTCCTTCCGAGCCTGTTTAAATTACACCCTTTCTTCCCGGTTTGGTTATGTTGGTCCACTTTGTCCTTTTAGCTTGTCTCAACCTCTACCTTTGTTTTAAAATAATCATCTGGGGTTGAGCAACCCCTCTTCCTACTTCTCCAGTGATCTGTCTAATAAACAAATACACAACCTCCTTAAAAAGGAACTTCTTTCATGAGCTCAGATTTGCACGTTTTGGGGAAACTAGGACTGGCAAAATGCAACATAGCGTTTTACTCATTGCCTGGATTCCGCGACCATTTATCACGGTGGAAAGGGGCTGGGAATTGGGCAATGAATACTGGAAGCCTCAGCTCCTGGAGCCCACAGTCATGCTTGCTTGAAATATGGGCTCTGCTTCCCCAGTCAGAGGGCACAGATGGAGCACGGAGGATTAGAGAACAGTCCACTTTTACCTTCTCCACTGAACGTTTTTAATGTTCTCCTAAAGAAGTTATAAATAATTAAAAGTTTGCTGTCATTTTTAAATCAGGTCTTAGATTACTCCAAGGCAAAGCCTTTGCCCAGGTTAATGGCAAAGTTCTCATTTCAGACAGTTTCACTGAAATCTCTAGTTGCAGGTTATAATGTGAAAGAGGAACTTCCAGGAAAGAGCTCTGTGAAGGACTTGCCTGAGGGACAACGCACCAGGAGAGTGAATGGTGTCTGAGGACAGTGAACTTTGGGGTTGATGACCCTAGACTGATGGTTTAAAATGTTTTCCTGGCCTTTTTTTTTTTTTTTTTTTTTAATGTCTGTGATGGAAAAAGCAGCCAGGAAAAGCCGTTACCACCCTCCTCTCAGAGCAAAGGGTTCCCTGTGCCAGGAGAGCATCAGGGACCTGATGTTGATGTGAGCTGCACAAGGGAATGCAGCGTGTGTAATTTCTGAAGCACACAGGGTGATTTTGGTGTGTTCAGAGAGGAAAGCCCCTTCTTTTTTGGCTCCAGGAAAAGCTGATGAGATTCTGGTTTCACTAATGCTTGTAAAACTTCTCTGAAAGACCAGGATTTTTCTGAAAGGAGATTAGCCAGCCTGCAGAAAGTACTTTCCTCTTAAAGGCCTCTGTTTCTTTCTAATAAACAGAAGAAACACTTTTTTTTTTTTTTTCCTCAGCAAGCCACGAGAATGGATAAATACAGTATGTGTTTTCGTGCTGCAGGGTAATATTGCAGGAGACCGAAGTCTAGGTTTAGTTTAGGCTATCCAGGCTGTTTGAGTTGGGTCTGTGCAATCTGAAATAGGCTTTCTCAGGTTTCTGGTTATGGCCATAGAAATGAGAACTGCTGTAAGAAAATAATGTCTCGATGGTTGCATTTGTGTTTGGAGATTTCATCAGGACTTCTGAGTCTGTCTCCCCTTTGCTTTTGCTTTTGATTTCAAAAATGGAAAAGGCCAGGGAGCATCAAATCTTTTGTTTATGGAAGGGCCTTTTAGGCCCTAAATCCTGGGTAGGATTTAGGAACTCAAGGAAATCTGATAAGGTCTGACTGTATTTTAGTTATTTTAGATTATCCTGCCTTAGGTTTTAACGAAAAGCCCGTGGTCTCAACCACCAACCTTTATCAATTTTTCCCTAGGGGTGTCATACCAAAAGATGATTTATCCTCCCTTTTTGCTGAAAGCTTACTGAAAAAGCGTCTACTGAAATATCAGCAGTGGGGAATGTATATAGGCAAGGTTAATTTGCTGTCTTGGGTCAAATTCTCTTCTGACTGTCAGTTTAAGCAAAAAGACTGAGCTCCTGGTCTGGAGCGATTAACAGGGGCCTTGTTTCTGCAGAGTTCGTAGCAGGACACGCACTGAAGAAGGGTGATGTTCTCAGCTCCTGCTGCTGTGAAAAAGCGCCGTGTGGGCAGCGACGCTGTTCAGACTCTGCTCAGGGCTGTGCATGCAGCTCTGGCCAGGATGCAGCCTGCAAGGATCCCCTGCCTCGTGACAAGAGGAACAGAAGGATGTTTGCTCCGATTGCTACGGTAGCCCTCAGCCCAAGGGAAGGCTTTTTGATCTTGCTTCTGATGCTCCAGCCTTAGTATTTAAAAAACAATTTGAAGTAGGACAAAACAGCCCAGGGATTTTCAAGATCTACTGATAGGAGCAACATGAACTGATATTTGGATAGCTACTATTTCGTACAAGGGTTCGCCTCTGCTCACAGGTGCAACAGCACCAAATGGGACAGACTCTGTATTGGGCTGGATTCTTTTGAGACCAAAATTAACAACTAGGGTATTTGTACTCTTAGCAGTTGGCTGTGAAACAGGAAAGATGTATGGAGTTCAGATGAAAACTTTTGATAAGAACCTTGTCTTGGCTTATTTCGCATCTAGCACCATGCCTACATAAAAGCACGAGTTTCTCTAAAGCGAGCTGCGGGTTGCAGGTGCGTTCACATACTCCTTTACACTCAGCTTTTAGGGTTTCCATGAGGCTGGTGATTTCCAACGTTCCTATGTTGGGAAGCTCCAGGACATACCTAGGCTGCTTGGCTGTGTGGGAAAAGCCATGCAAAAAAACCCCCTGAAGTCTGGGTTCAGGTTCTGCTGTAGCAGAGGCAAACCAGGATTTTGGCTGCCTCTGTCTGAGAAGCATTTCCTCTGGATGTGGCCCAAATCACTTTCCAGATCATGTTCAAGGCTATGGGATTTCCGTGGAGGAGGTTTGGCAACTGCCTTGTTCAGAGTCTCCGCGTAAGACGCAGGAGAACTGCTTCCCTGAGCCTGCTTGTTCTCCTGCTGGACCCGGGGAGCAAGGGATGAAGCGCACAGTGCAAACGCTCTCACCAGGGATCCACGGATGGGCAATATTCCCGCAGCAAACTGTGCACCCACAGGAGAAGCACCCACCAGGCAGGCGGAGATGTCTATGCGGGTGCCTGGTGGCTGCCCGCAAAGCCCTCCACGAAGCAGCATCGCTGAACGCTGTGAGAAATGTGAAACCAAGAACTGCTGGTGCTGTTGGATCCACATTTTGAATGTTTTTAGTGGGAGGGAGCCTTTGCCGTATTAATGTTTTACTCTCTATCACATGCTGTACTTCTTGGTCACTGTAGAAAGACTTATTCTTGGAAGGGTCCGTAGGGAGGTATCTCCTCCTTGGGACGTACAAGTTGGATAGGTTTGAAGTGCTACTTGCCTGAAGAGCTGCCGTTAAACCACAGGGTTTGTTTTATGACTTATATTTCCAAGTAACACTTTGTTTAAGTGAGACAGCCAGGCAATTGCTTACAGCTTTTCTAGAATGTGTGCTTTGTTTTATTTTCCTCTTCATTTAGATTCCAGCGCACACAGGACTCCTGTTTTTTAAGTCTATTTTAACCATGACTGGAGAAGCTTAGTTATCAGTTATGCACTATAAACACTATGTGCAGGGAGATGTTTTGGTCAATGCTATTCAGCTTTTGCTTGCTAATCTAATTACAAAGCGTAGGTTGCCTGGCATGGAGCTGCTTGTGCAGAAAAGGCTTTTCTCACACCTGGTGGATTGTTTAGCAAGGCTTTTCAAATGCTTACAGTTTTAAAGAGAGGGGAAAAAATCTTTTTTTTTTTTTTTAAAAGAAAACAAGTTCCTGTGCTGTGCAATAGAAAGAATTTAGTGGTTGTCAACATGAGTTTAGTGAGAGGGTGCTGTGTAAAATGTGGGTTCGCTTTACATTGACCTTTGGTCATAGTAGCCCAAAACGTTTTTTTTTTTTTTTTTAAGAGTAAAGGAGAGTATGAAGGTTAACAGATGCCGGTGGCTGTGTCAGAGGAGGGGTGTGCATGCGCCCCTCTCTGCGCAGACACACACGCTCCCGTACTTTGGATGTTTATTGTCAGCGCCTCGGTACTCCACAGCTCTGAAAGGGCAGCTTTGAATCGCAGCCCCGGCCAGCAGCGTTTCTGAGCCGTCCCTACGCACAAAATAAAGTACCTTGTCGAATACGGGCCATTGAGCGGGGCTGATGGGTTGCGAGTGGGGGTCCCAGCGGCAGCGTGGGTGCTTGTTTATCCGGGAGGAGGTGTCAGTTGTAGCTGCGCCGCTGAAAGGAGGGACGCCAGCGGCTGATGCCTGGGAGAGCATTGATGGGAGGTAACGGGGTAATCGGATTGAAAGTTAGCCATGGTATTTGTGTCAGTTCACATTTCGTCAAATGAATAATATGAGGTTGCTACCTAGCCTAGGCCTTGGCCTGGGGGTTCAGCTATAAAGACGCTAGGCCTCATTTAATTCAAATATAAATTAATTCTCACCAGAGCGTTGGCTGATTAACCTATTTGCATAATAGTAGAAAAACTGCAGTGTGGTTACTTTTGTGGGGATTTGGGCAAGAAAAGCCTTAAATTCATTTGAAAGAATACTGTGTGAGAAGTCAGGGAAGCAAAAGCACCTCTATATGGATCCTGAAGGCTTTTTTTTTCCAGACCCCAACGTGCAAAACTCAGGGCTAAATTTGTTCACACAGAAATCTTATGCTCTCCCAAATGACAAGCGCATTCTAATGTCTATTTACATTTGTTTTCTCGTACTTGATATAAATAGCTTTTGCTAGGTAGAACCATGGTGTACTTTATAATTTTTGCTATTTAAGAAAAGAGAGCTCTGAAGAGGAAAAAGTACTGTGTGCATGTGGAATAAACATTGAATTCCACTAAAGCTGCGTGCTGAGCGAATGAACTAGCAGAACCAAATTCACATGGAATGTACACACTGTTTGTATGTAAGACTGGGTATAGTTTGTGATACTCTATTTCTGCTGACCAGACAGCGCACATCTTAAGAGCAGTAGCAAGGGAAGGAGAGTGAGTGGAACTTGGTGCTTTTGCTGAACAGATACTCTAAGAGAAATATAAATACACACACACACATTTTCCTAACAACTCTCTTCAGCATATATGCTACTTTCCCTTGTTTTAGATGGTCCCTAAAGCACACCCTTGTCGCTGAGGTCAGGATGCAGATGTATACACCCACATGCAGAGTCATACAGATATCTCATGAGCATAGTGTTATTTTGCTATCTCCATTTTTTTCCTTAAAACTTCAGGTGAAATACTATGCTTTTCTGTTTGCTATATGAAATGATATGCTTCTTTTCACTAGCCACACAGCTGCCTGATTTCACTGATGGATAAAAGGACTATATGTGTGCACACTTGTATTAGACTCTCTTGGATCAAGTGGACAAAATCGTGTAACATTCACAAAGCAGAGCCCTGAGACTTTTGAAAAATGATCCAAATCCTACCCTTAGTGAAGTCTGTAGACTATTTGCTATTGGGGAAAAAAAAATCTCTCATTAAGCAAATATGAATCTTCTGGCAAGAACCTGAGGATAGAGTAATGCATATGTAAAGGAGTGAAACCCTCAAATCCAGATACTTAAGAATCAGAGTGAGGTTGCAGATTGTAATGAACTTAAAGAAACGACACAGTAAAAATTATCCGCATCCTAGGTGGAAATATAGTAATTTGTAACTCCCCATATAAGTTATGTGTCACACCTAGGAGGTGTGGCCTACACCTGGGAATTCAGGATCATTGATAAGGGGGAAGGTTCCTTCCTACCTCTCCTTTTTTGGCTCTGCTTCCTGAAAAGGAAGAACCCTTCTCCAAGGGAGGAATGGGGTGCTTTGCATCTTCTTCAGCTGGCCTTAGCAATCAGAAATATTTTGTCCAGGATAAGTTTGAGAATGATTTTGCATATTTTTTTTCCCCCTGCTTTTCTCACCCTTTTTTTCTTCTCTTCACATCTTTCTATCCTAGAGATATCACAGAGGGAGAATGAGGCTAAGGTAAGTGGAATAATTCCTAAGATGAGGGCCAGCTGGGCGTGTCAGGAATAGAAAGCCATGAGTACAGCTTGAGTGAAAATTGTGCTTATCTTCTGCAGGAGATATTTGCTCATAGCAGCAGGCAGGGGCAACTTATGAAACAGTGGAAGAGCAGTAATCAGGTAAGTTCCCGTATTTTCTTCTGGAGCTCTCTAAACGTAGAAACATCATTACAAGCTGTTTCTGTGCCAACTGCAAAGTCAGGCTTGTAGCTGGGCTTTCTCTGGTCTCTTTCCTGATGTACTTTTATGTTTCATGTTGTTTGTTGGTCAGGGTTGAACAAACATGTGTTTGATATTTCTAGCACAGCTCCTTGCTGGTACAAAGGAAGGAAAGAATATGATGCTGAGAGAAATGCTCTTCTGCACAGAGCTGTGGGAAGTTGAGTGGCAGAAGTAAATAACTAACAATGGGATATGCTCAACAATATTTATGTGAGCTTTGTGCTCTCAGATACACTTGGATGGCAGTGAATTGTCAGTTACTATATCAATCTGCCAAGTATGAATAGCTCTCAATGAGCTTGAACATTCTCAGGTTAAGGCATCTGTAAAGCTGATAGAGATCATGCATGATATTGGTATGACCTCAATCTCGGGGCGTATAAATTAAGCCATTCCTAAGCAAGGGCATCAGCTCACTCAGCAATGTTCACATGGAAACATGAGATGTTTTGTACATGGGCAGATAACCCAGGACTGCCTGTGAGACCAGGCATGGTTCACTACTTGTCTTCATCTATGGTTTATATACTGCTCTAGTCCTTGTGGCTGCTGAAGAGAGTTGGAGGGGTTTTGCAAAACTATTTTTATTGGGCAGAGGATCTTTTTTGAACAGAGTAGCATTTGTATCGTATGTGTGACAAGATCTTATCTAGCATATTTTGCATGCACACAAAATAGTCACGATTCATGGCTATGGAAGCTAGAAAACAAATGTAAGTTGTACTTGTCAGAGCCAAAGAGGAAGATTTGGCAGTGTTTTAGTGTGTGTGTGTTTGTTTGTTTTTTACTTGTTGCTGAATGGGAATGTAAAGTTGTAACTTAATTACTAACTATTCACTTAGCTACGACTAATTATCTGAGTTCTGAGTGCATTATAATTGGCTCTGTTGAACCATATGGTATAAATACACAGTACTAACACTTTCCATCTTTATTCTTTATGGCAGGCTGACAGCTCTCCTGTGGCACTGCTGTCAATCTTATGTAGCCTAGTTCTGATAAAGCAAAGATGCTCATGTTTCTCTTCTAAGAAGACACATTTTACAGAAAAGGGGACATTTGTTCTGTGATGTTAATATAAATGCAGAGTGTAATATTATCTCATGGAATTTCCATTGGTTGTGAGGGATTTGTCAGCTCAGTACTCCCTTTCTGTTTGCCTTGCTCTGTGCTGACATGTGGTTCCTGGCACAGCCATATGAAGCTTCTGGCTTTGACCTGTGAGAAACTTCTTGCCTTATGCAGAAAAACACTAAAAAGCTTAAGGGGAGAAAAAAAAAAGCCAAACCTTACAGGCACGGTGTACAGGATACTACTGCACAACTTAATCTTTATGGCATGTTGGTTATCTAACTGTTTTCCTACAGGTCAAAAACATTTGGACAAAGGTGGTAACAAAATAACACAGGTGTGCGATTTTTACACTGAGGTCAGAATTATCTATTTAAGCTGGGTAGAATTGTGCATTTGGAGAGAGCTTGTGGCTGGATGAAAGATGCATTTTAACATAAGAGATCTCCTGTTAAAATCCTACTATGGGACAGGCAAATTTTAAGCCACGCCAATCAGCTGTGGCTCCTTTGCTAGGGATTCTCTCAACTAATCCAGCTATTTGGAAACTCCCATGCTTGGAGTGGTTGCTCCTCTAATGTGTGGTGGAAGTCTAGGCTCACAGGTGCAATTAATTCACCTTTCAAACTTTCTTGCAGCTTAGGTTTAGGGTATATTTAAGCAGCACCTAACACAGTGAACCATTATCCAATTGAAGCCTCCATGCTCCTTTTTCTTTTTCTTTTCCTTTTTTTTTTTTTTTTTTTCTTCCCTATTGGAGAAGGTACTGGGAATGAACAGAGTGTTTTAACTCATTTGGCTTCT